CTTCTTTCTTAATTCCAGGTTAGTAAATAACTTTTTGATTTGTATGTATCTAGAGAGTGTGTCTGATTACCAGGTCAAATGGTGAATAGTTTACTCTATATTATCTTACATATTGAATCATTAGAATAAATAGTAACAGTTCATCAGTTATCTTATATATTAAATCAGTTATTTAATATGTTAAATCATTAGAATAAATAATAACAGCTCAACAGTTAAAATGAAATTTTATTATCATAGGTTAAATTTTGTTTTAATTTTAAAATAGCATTTGTTTGTTTACAGAATTAACCTTATATTTTCTCATTGCAAATTTAACACTTGTTTTCTAATTTATAAAAAGTCTTTTTGAATGATAAGGAAACTTGGTAGCACTGTAGAATAAGCTCTGGACTGCTAACTGAAAAGTGGGCAGTTTAACCACCAGACTCTCCCTGGGACTCCGGTAAAAAGTTACTGCTTTGGAAACCCTAGACAGAGTTACTATGAATTAGAATGCACTGGATAGCAGTGGCCTTGATTTTGGTTTGGTCTGGTCTAGTGAATGATAGAGATCTCTGAAATTAGAAACTTTGTATTCTAGTTTAAAATGGGTGTTAAATATAACGGAATCAGTCTGTTTTATTGCATTACATTTAACATCCATTTTAAGCTTTATTGAGTATAATTTCTCTACACACTTTAAGCACAAAATTCATTGGTTTTTAGTATATTTAGAGTTGTACAATCATCTCCATAGTCTAATTTTAAAACATATCTGACTCAGTAGCAAAAGGGGTTTTTGTTTTTCTTGAGTTTTTCATTTGATTATTCTAATTTTCCAGTTCACTTAATCTCTATAAAACACAAATTTAAATACAATTGTTATTTACATATGTAAATAAGGAGCCCTGGTGATACGGTCAGATAAACACTCAACTGCTAATGACAAAGTCCAAAGTTCAAACCCAACAATTGTCTTGCTGGAGAAAGATGAGGCTTTCTGCTCCCCTATAGATTTACATAATGGAGATTTTTGTGCTGGGTAAAGTGGTGGGGTGTCAGTGAAAAAGAGGAAGAACCCCAATGAGATGGATTAATACACTGGCAGCAGCCTCAGATTCAAGCATAATGAACAGTTGTGAGGAAAGCTCAGGACTGAACAGTGGTTAGCTGTGGTGTGGTAAATGTGGTCTCCATGAGTTGCTCTGACTCTACCACACCTAACAACAACAACATCAAAGATCTATAGCCTTGGAAACCCTACACAGGGATGCTATGAGTTAGAACCCTTTGGAGAGCTCCTAAAACAATTTACATATGAAATTCATAATATCCACAAAGAGGGAAAGAACACCAATGAAAAGACAACTTTTTCTATGATTTGTAATATGTTTATTAAGGAGCTCTGGTAGCGTAGTAGTGGTTACTAATTAGTAGTGGTTACTAATTGGGCTGCTGTTCTGCAAGAGAAAGATGAGGCATTCTGCTCCCGTATAGATTTGCAGTCTCGGAAACCCCGTGTAGGGTCACTATGAGTCTGAATCTACTCCACAGTACTTAACAACAACAACAACAACAACAATATGTATATTACCATACTGCAAACCACAAGGTTGGTGGTTGGAGCCCACCAGTAACTCTGAGGGAGAAAGATGACATTTTCTGCTCCTGTAAAGATTTATAGCCAAGGAAACACTACCCAGGATCACCATGAGTCAGAACAGATTGACAGCACTTTGCAACAATATGTAAATATGTATTCTAAGGAGCCTTGGTAACAGAGTGGTTAAGCACTTGTCTGCTAACCAGATGGTTAGTGGTTCAAATGTACCAGTCTGCCCTTGGCTAAAAAATGTGGCAATCATCTTTCTAAAGATTGCAGCCTTGAAATACCTGTGGAAGAATTCAACTCAGTCCTGTAGAGTCCCTATTAGTCAGAATCAACTCAATGACAAAAGGGTTTGTTTGTTTACTTTTTAATCAGTCTGTTAGGTTGTATGACACAGAAATCTAAGTAAACTAGTGAGGAAATCTTAGATTGTGATTATATTCATTTTGTTAAAAAGGGACATTTAGCTTCAGATTTCGTGGTTAATACTCTAAGTAGATGTTTTACTATAATGCAGTCATAAAAGTTCAAAAGGCATTTTGAGCACTCATTGTCCTGAACGATTATGATTGAGGAGATGCTGTTCGAATGAACTAAAACAAATACATTAACCTTTAATTTCTCCAGATTTTAAAATTCTATTATACCATGTTCACATCATCAGAATATTTCAGATTTGGGCTCTGTTACTTTAGTTTCCAGTAGAAGCCCCACACAACTATTGTTTCATGTTATTGTCTACTATTTTTAAAGAAACAATGTTTTAAAAAAAGACCATGGAGGACATTTTTTATTCTTTTATGTAATGGCTCATGAAGAATTACATTCAATACTTTTTATGAAAGGTTTACATAATACTTTCCCCTTAATGATGAGACCTGGTGCGGCACTGCAGGATAATACGCTGGACTTCAAGGTCAGTTTGAGCCTCAAGGTCAGTGGTTCAAACCCACCAGCTCCTCCTTGGAAACCTGATACAGAGTCGTTATGAGTTGGAACTGACTCGACAGCACTTGACAACAACAACAATGAGAGGGAAACACTAGTTTGTTTCTTACAATAAACTGATAATGAGAGCTATGCATCCTATCCTATTTCATCTGGTAGCTCAGAACTGCATTTTAAATGAAATGTTGAATTTATTAATCATACAGAATTGTGGAATCATTCTACCCCTGCCCCCCAAATTGCATAAATTGTATATCCTGGCTTTGTTCAGAAGTCCTAAAAAATACTTCTTTCATCCTAAAATCCTTTAAGAAGCAGTGAGTCAAAACTGACTCCACAGCACACAGCTGTCACCACCATATTGAGTGAATTCATAAAATGAATTCAGTGAGCTTGAATATTGAATTAAATGAGATGAAAAACTATATTGGTGTTATAGAAGTATGGTCTGAAAGAATGAGTGTGTGAGTGAGCAAATGAGGAAGGGAAGAAAATACAGTGTGGGTCCTGCCAGAAGTAGTTCTGGAAGGAACTAAGTTTGTCGATTTCAATGCAAGTGTTTTGGGAATGGTTGTACAACTTGGTAACTTTACTAAAAATCATTCAAATTTGTACTCTGAAGATTCTTGAATTTTATAGTAAATACATTTCAGCTTAATAAAATGTTTAAAACAATAACAAAAAAGCCAAGCAGGCTTAACATGAAATATCTTGGGCTGAACTTTAATTGTAAACAGACATGATTATTCTGAACAAGACTTTCCTTATGATCTATTGTATTATAACAAATTACATAATACATATTTTTCTTTTTATGAGAACAAGTTTTCTTTATTTTCATATTATAAAAATATAAACATATTGCCATTATAATTATACTAGTAAGAAGTACAAAAATTATAAATTAATGTATTAATAACACTGCTCTACATCCTTGTGAGACAACTATCACTCTATACTTCTCTCTCTCTTCCTCCCTTTCTTTCAGTCTCTATGTAAGTGATTTGCAGATTGTAGGTCATATTTCTGGTATGGTGTGGTAGGTTAATGTACTGGACTGCAAAGTTGGTTTGAACTGCAAGACTGGGAGTTCAAGGTTCCAGTCACCATGGGTCGGAACCAACTCGATGGCACTTAACAACAACAAATAACAAAGTCGTATTTCCAGTCTTTGAAATATTCCGTAACTGAATTGTGTCCAATTTGTGTCTTCTTTACATTTGCTAATCATGTCTTTAACCCAAGTTGTTGATGACAATTTTTGAACTATACTAGATTGAGGAAAATATCCTGTGGTCCTGTGACTTTTCTTGTTGATGGCATAGGTTTTAATCCTTAGATTAAAACTTTCTCTAATGGTACTGTTTAAGTTTTCCTCAAAGATATTATAGGAGAATATGATGAATGCCACTGTATAATTCACATATAACATAATAATGACACTCCCATACAATTACCAAATAACAGATGTAACTTGGGCCACTGATCTGTAAGCCATCCTTTATCTATGCAGTACCCTAAATGAATTTACATCCAGAGCATGCTTTTTTAACTTAAAAGAATATTTCCTCCTTTAATTTCTGTAAACAGGGAAAGAAATCTACTGAATCTATTGATTTCAGGAGAAAGATGCATGTATATATTAATTGGTATCTAGATACGTAGATTTAGCTGCATACCAAAATGCCTTTCTCAATTTTGATTTGTGTTTGTGATGGTAAATGGAGAGGAAGGACATGGAAAGAGATCTGATATCTATATACAATTTTTTTTTGTTTTACATAAAAGTGCTATCTAAAGTTTTCACTTCAATTCTTGGATCGGATGCTTAAAAGTCATTATCTAATAGCGATGACTCTGACACACATGAGGACTACATGCAGTTCAGAAGATCTTCACATTCTCAAACTTCCTGAAGATTTTTAATTCACACTTTACACTCAATGATTCTACCTTTCACGATGGACAATTCTCATAGATGGTAGAGATTTTTTTTTTTTTTTTTCTTTAACTCTCCCCTATCCTGGAGTTTCGAAGAAATTCAAATCCCCTTAAGGAAAACTGAAGTCTGGAAAATGCAAATACTCATAGATGTGTGGGTACAGGCTTGATTTGTGACTCTGTAGGATAAACACTGGACTCCTAAATGTAAGACTGGCAGTTAAAACCCACCACCTACTCCATAGAAACCTTATACAGGGTTTCTATGAGTCAGAACAAACTCCATGGTACTTAACAACTCGTTTGAACCACAACATTGGCGGTTCAAAGTCACCAGCTACTCCTTGGAAATCCTATTCTGGGTCACTATGAGTTGGAACCAATTTGACGACATTTAACAATGGCAACAACATTCAGATAATGCTTAGTTGATCACTTTCTATGTCCCAGTAGTTACCAGGCCTTTTCATTTACATCTCTTTTTTTTATCATAGATTCAAAACTCAGCTTGGGACCTAAGACAATGGACCTACAGAATTATTCCTTGGTGTCAGAATTTGTGTTGCACGGACTCTGCAATTCACGGCATCTCCAATATTTTTTCTTTATATTTTTCTCTCTGGCCTATGTGACCATTGTACTGGGTAACCTTCTCATTGTGGTTACTGTCATTTCTAACCCCCGCTTGCACTCTTCCCCTATGTATTTCCTACTGGGGAACCTATCTTTTCTGGATATGTGGCTGGCCTCATTTGCCACCCCCAAGATGATCAGGGACTTTCTTAGTGACAGAAAGCTCATCTCTTTTGGTGGCTGTATGGCTCAGATATTTTTCTTACACTTTATTGGTGGTGCTGAGATGGTGTTGCTAGTTTCCATGGCCTATGACAGATATGTGGCCATATGCAAACCCTTGCATTACATGACCATGATGAGCCGGCGAACTTGCATTGGGCTGGTGTTGGTTTCATGGACTATTGGATTTATACACTCGATCAGTCAAGTAGCCTTTACTGTGAATTTACCTTATTGTGGCCCCAATGAGGTGGACAGCTTCTTCTGTGACCTCCCTCTGGTGATAAAGCTTGCCTGCATGGACACCTATGTCTTGGGATTACTTATGATTTCAGACAGTGGGTTGCTTTCCATAAGCTGTTTTCTGCTCCTAATGATTTCCTACACTGTTATCCTTGTCACTGTCCGACAGCGGTCAGCAGGAGGGGTCTATAAAGCACTCTCCACTTGTTCTGCACACATTATGGTAGTCACACTGTTTTTTGGACCCTGCATTTTCATCTATCTGTGGCCCTTCAGTAGATTCTCTGTGGATAAGCTACTGTCTGTGTTTTACACAATTTTTACTCCACTCATGAACCCACTTATCTACACATTGAGAAATAAGGAGATGATAGCATCTATGAAGAAACTTTGGAACCAATATGTGACTTTTCACTGAATTCCAGCTTTGTATAGAGTTCCGTGTTCTTATTTTTTCAGGGGGATATTTTAAAATATGATAATAAACAATGATTTAATTCTGACATTATATTGGTATAATTTGCCATATATCTTATTATGCACAAACAGTTGTTAATGTCAACAAGATTGTATATGTGTATATTGTTGTTGTTAAGTGCTGTCAAATCGATTCCAACCCTGTATAGGGTTTCCGAGGAGCATCTGGTGAGCTTCAACCGCCGACCTTGCAGTTGGCTTTGCAGTCTGGTGCATTAACCCACAGTGCCAAACTAGGACTCCATGTATGTGTATGTGTATATATATCTATATACCTATCTATATAGATATAGGTATATATATATATACACACATATATATACACATCCATACATATATATGTATGTATATATATGTGTGTATATATATATACACATACATACATATGTATACATGTATGTATATATACGTGGGTGTGTCTATAAATATACATATAGGAGCTCTAGTAGCCTAGTGGGTACAAGGTAGACTGTTAACTGTAAGGTCAACCAGCCACTCTGCAAGAGAAAATTGAGGCTTTCTGCTCCCATAAAGATTTACAGCCCCGTAAATTTGATACAGGTTCGCTGTGAGTCAAAACTGACTCCATGGCACATAACCAACACCAATCACATCATTAAGGAGCATAGCTATCATCAAGTCAATTTTTACTCATAGTAATCCTAGATATATTAGTTGTTGTTAAGTGCCATCGAGTTGGTCCCAACCCATAGCGACCCTGTATATTAGAATAGAGCTGAATTCCATAGGGCTTTCAATACAGATAGAGTAGAACTGAATTCCACAGGGCTTTCAATGCTAAATTTTTTGGGAGTAGATAGCCAGAGACATTTCTTACAAGGTGCCCCTGGGTGGGCCTGAACCTCCAACCATTTGATTACCTTCTGAGCACAGTAACCATTTGTCTTACTCAGGGACCACTATATGTATTCACGCATACGTATGTACTTATGCCTTAAAGCCCTGATGGTGTAATGATGAAGTTCAGTTCAAATTCACAAGATGCTCCAGGAGGGAAAAACCTGGCAATTTGCTCCCACAAAGATTACAGCCTCAGAATCCCTTTGGGGGTTGCTTCTGGTTAATGTACTGGACTGCAAGATCTGCTTGAACAGCAAGGTCTGTGGTTCAGGTTCACCAGTCACTCCTTAGAATCTCTATACAGGGTGACTATGAGTCAGAACCTACTCAACAGCACTTAATGATAACACCACTTTGTCATATAGGTTTGCTAATTAGTTTGAATCCACTGGATGACATAACAACAGCATGCACATGTAACACACACACACACACACTCTCCCATACTTTGGGATATAGTCTGTATTTTTTTTTTAAAGCAAATTGATCTTAATAGTTTGTTTTGCCTTCATTACATAAAAATAAGGTTTCATTTCCTAATCAGAGTTCAACAACCAAGGGGGAAATATTCAAGACATTAAACAGATAAGCTAGCCTGGGATTAAATAATGCTCATTGGTTTGATTTTGGAAGTTTGAAAGGAGAAACAGAAACATAATTTCAACATTTTATTGATTTTAAAGTATACTTTTCCTTGTGACTATGCATTACTTTTACTTTTAATTTTTCTGTTTCAAAAATTAATGTGTACTAGTGATATTTGATCATAGAGATTACATTGTTGTTGTGTTCCATTAAGTCACTTCTGATTCACAGTGACCCTGTATAGGGTTTCTGAAAGTGGCTGGTGGGGTTGAACTGCTGACTTTGTGGCTTCCTGTTCAGTGCTTATCCTGTAGCCCCGCACCAAGCCTCAGAAACTGTATTACATAAGAGGAAATCAATATGTGAAACTAAATATTGCATGATGTAAACTTTAGTTTCACCAGTTAATTTACATTTATCTTAATATGCTTTCACTCAAATAGATCCAAAATAAATACTGTATCTCTTTGCTGAATTGATTCTGCCTCTTGATAATAGGAAGAATGCATTTGACTCCACAGATTCTGATTCTATAGTGAATTGTAAATATTTATAGTACCCCAAAACCATAAGTATGGATTAGATTTGATATTGACCAAACTAATGTTCAGAGAGCTCAAGCAGTTTTCTCCTAAGTTGGCTCCGAAGCATCAAAGGAGAATTAGTCATGACTCAATTACTGGAGTAGTAAAATGAACCATCTAATGATTCTTGACATTGTCTCCTATTTAAGAAAGCATGGTACTGGGTATTTGATGTGTCCTATTACTGCAAGTCTTACCATACGTATGAGTATTAATATAGCATATAAGGAAAACAATGTGCATTTCATGATAAATTTATCTACCGACCCTTGCTTGTTATTGTGATAATACAAGGGAGCTGCAAAAAGTTCATGGAAAAATGGAATTAAAATGTAATGGAATTTTCCAGGAACTTTTTGAAGCCTATTTGTAGTATTTGTTGTTTTTATAGACTTTGGACATAGTCATTTTCATGATCAACTAGATTCATTTGTGAGACTATTAAACATACTTAAAAGGTCATCAACATCTTTAAGATTAATTTCTTTGCTTGTTATTAGTGAAATACTCCTTTGCTTGTTATTAGTTTTAACATAGCCACTCTTCATAAAAAAGACATAACTGATACTATGATACTATTTATATAGTTAATAAACAAATATTTGCCAAGCAACCACTGTACTTCAGATATAGGCACTGAGCTACGTGTGGAGATGTTGTTGTTGTTGTTAAGTGCCGTCTAGTCGGTTTCGACCCATAGCGACCCTGAATAGGGTTTCCGAGGCTGTAAATCTTTACGCGAGCAGAAGGCCTCATCTTTCTCCAGCGGAGCGGCTGGTAGTTTCGAACTGCTGACCTTCCGGTTCGCAGCCCGATTCGTAACCACTACGCTACCAGAGCTCCTTATGTGTGGAGATAAGAACATTGAAAAACAGACATTCGGAAACTTAGAATCTTTCAGTTTAGTGGGGTAAAATAAACTATATGGGTGATCACAAAGCATGCAGTGAAGTGACAGCTATGATAGGGGAATATAGAATATTCTGTATTCTGGAAAGCCCATGAAAGACAGATCTAGTCCAGTACTGACAGCTAAGACAGACTCCCCAAAGCCTTCTATTCTCTCTGATCTCAAAGGACTCTGTCCTTTTAAATGATGTATATGGTATCTCTGGAATCCTGATGTGATGCTGTAGGATAAGCACTGGACTGGTGAGTTCAAACTCACCAGCCATTCCTGGAAAACCCTATACAGGGTCGCTATGATTTGGAACCAACAGGAAGGCACTTAACAATGACAACAATATAGTGTATTTAGGAACTAGGTGGCTCCATACAATAAACACTGGACTATGAACCACAAGCCCACCAGCTGCTCCATGGGAGAAAGATGAAGCCTTCTGCTCCTGCAAAGATTTAAAGCTTTGGAAATTCTGTACAGGGTTGCTATGAGTAGGAACAGACTAAACAGCACTTAACATTTAAAGCAACAACAACAACAGTCGTGTATTTGGAATAAGTGGCATGGTGATGTATGATCAGCACTGAACTCTCAACTCACCAGCGGCTCCTTGGAAACCCTACAAGGGTTGCTATGAGTTGGAACCAACTTGATGGCACATAATAACAACAACAATAGTGTATTAGCATTGTTCTCGTTAAGTGACATCGAGTCTGTACCAACTCATAGCGACCCTATGCACAACAGAATGAAACACTGCCCGATCCTGGGCCAACCTCACAATTATTGCCACATTTGAACACATTGATGCTGCCACTTTGCTAATCCATGTTGCTTGCGGTCTTCCTCTTTTTCTCTGACCCAAACATGATATCCTTCTCCAGTGACTGGTCCCTCCTGACAACATGTCTGAAGTATGAAAGACAAAGTTTGGCCATCTTGGCCTCCAAGGAGCACTCCAGTTGCATTTCTACTAATACACATCTGTTGATTCTTTTGGCAGCCCATGGTACTTTCAATATTCTCATCCAACACAACAACTCAAAAGCATCAATTCTTCTACAGTCTTCCTTATTCATTTCCCAGCTTCCGTATGCACATGAGGTTATTGAAAATACTGTGGCTTGGGTCAGGTGCACCTTAGTCCTTAAGCTGACATTTTTGTCTTTAGTGTTTTAAAAATGTCTTGTGCATCAGACTTACCTAATAAAATATGTCACTTGATTTCTTGACTGCTGCTTCCATGAGTGTTGATAGTTGATCCAAGAAGAATGAAGTCCTTGACAACTTCAATCTTTTCTCCATTGATAAGAATGTTGCTTTTTGGTCCACTGATGAGGGTTTTTGTTTTCTTTACATTAAGATGCAATCCATAATGAAGTTAATGATCTTTGATCTTTATCAGTAAATATTTTAAGTCCTCCTTACTTTCAGCAAGCAAGGTTGTATCATCTGCATATCTCAGGTTGGTAATGAGTCTTCCTCCAATCCTGATGCCACGTTTTTCTTCATAGAACCCAGCTTCTCAGATTATTTGCTCAGCATACAGGTTGAATAAATATGGTGAAAGAATACAACCTTGTTTCACATCTTTCTTAATTTTAAACCATTCAGTGTTCCCATGTTCTGTTTGAACAACTGCCTCTTGGTCCATGTACAGATTCCTCATGAGCACAATTAAGTGTTCCAGAATAATCATATTTCACAAATGTTAGTGAATGTTCAAACATATGCCAGATCTCACAAGGTGTTGCTGACTCCCTAGAACTAGCCAATGGTTCATCTCTTATTGCCAATTTCTTTTCATATTCCACCTTGTTTTATCTAAATTGATGAAGATGTACATAGTCATTGCACCATCCAGTGACAAAGGTCCTTGGGGATTAGTGTTGTTGTTGTCAGGTACCATCAAGTCGGAACCGACTCATAGCGACCCCATGCACAGCAGAACGAAACAATGTCCGCTGGGCCAACCTCACTACTGCTGCCACACTTGACACCATCAATGAT